CAAATCCAAACCTGCTGAGGGTCGTTTGGGGACCTTGTGGCACGTAGTGCACCAGGTCTCTGTATTCGTCCCTTCAAAAAGTGTGGATGGTCCTGCTGTCAGTTTCCTAAGAACCGATCTGCTTGACCCTCATACGTCGAATTCGACGGGAGTGTCGTGTATATATATATATATATATATATATATATATATATATATATATAAAGTGTGTTCCAATAACTTGGACCGATTTTAAATGAGAATTAAGTTTAAGTGTCTAATGAGTTTTTTTTCTTTTAAATTTCGGCGATATTATTTTTCACACATAATTGTCGTGACTTAAATAACATGCTCCAAAAGAGAAATAAATACATTTTCAACAATAACACCGATTATTTACTGCTGACTTTGATCCGTCTTAATGAAAAACCTTTTATATATATTGATATATTAAATGTAATAAATCCGTTGGTATATAATCCAAGTGGATACTAGTTATATAAAATATTAAAACTGGTCCACAAAAAGAGCTCAGTGTATTTATTATAACAGAGCCAATAAATAGTATTATACAATAAAATACCAAATTACCTTATATGGGAAAGACCTATTGCGCATATTATGAGGTAATTTTGGATTTTACTGTGTAATATATATATATATATATATATATATATATATATATATATATATATATATATATTAGTATAAAAAAAATGAAAACAAACACTTAAAGTCCATGGTGAAATTTATTTCGCTAAAATCGAATATTCGATCCCAGCTCTTCAGAACGACTCTTACACACCTGCTCTGTTTTTTTGTTTTTTTTTCTTTACACTGAGCCCCATGGATTTATACCGTTTTTGGAATTATCCATACAGATTACCAAATATAATTATTAATTTGACTATATATATATATATATATATATATATATATATATATATATATATATATAAAAAACAGACAACTTTAAGGTTCCGTTATAATAATTTATTTCACTAGAGCCTTTTAAAGGGACGCGGGATCATCAGATAACACTTCCAAAAAAATGAAAAGAAAGATGAAACGAAAATTCAATATATATATATATATATATATATATATATATATACTAATACGGCTAATAATGCAAGACTCTTCGTTAAATCGAATTGAGTTCTCTCAGTCACTGTGTATTTATCTAAAAATAAATACGCTTAAATTCACCTTCATCCCTGCCGTGCACCAATGGTTTAGTGTTAGAATCTCCGACTGATGCCAACTCAAGCGGGTTTCGTTCCTAGCTAGAGGCAACCGGACGTCTAACCACACTGATGAGCTGTGATACATCGAAAGAAAACTTCTTTGTTAAGTTTATTCTATATTTCAGCTCATTTTCCTGGTTTCCGGGACGTATGTAAATATATGAAGTCCAAAGCCTGATTACTTTCGGTTTTCCTAAGCCACTATGTTGGTTTCATCATTTCATAAATAAGGTGATTTCACTCAACAGCTGTTTGCCATTTTGTATATGTAAGTCTACACAGGGAGAAAGAAATCCCTTGGTTGGTGTTCAGATCACATTTTATTGATGTTGGGCGGTTGATGCTGTTTTAATGTTGAACGATTCTTGTATTTGTTTGTAAATGAAACATGAGACGTGAAAACATCATGAACAGAACATGTGAGCAAAGATTTAAGAAAAGACAGAAACTGCAAGGAAATTGATGCTTAGACAACTGAAATTTCTAGGACATAATGAAGAAATAAGGCCTAGAGAATTGAACACTCACAAGACATACTGAAGGTAAAGTATTTCATTTGAATGAAATCATTCACATTAATTAAGATGATGAAGTTCATATTTTATATTAATAAATTCTCTTTAGTTTCTGATAGATTTATTTAATGAGATTACTGTTTTCTTTTTTGAAATACGGATTCAGGTTTGCGTTCATTTCTTTTACCATCATTTCTCTTTAGATGAAGAATATAGTCAATGCGCGCTTAGAACAAACGCTTGCGATGCTGATATGCAATTCCAATAATGGCAAAGATAAATATATGTCTATAGCTCTGAGATGAGGTATTATGATTACTTGCATTATTCGGACTGTTATCCTCATCTTCATTGCCATATTCACAACGTTTCGGCCATTGTACGCTCCGGTCTTTATGTCTATATACTGTGGCTACATCTGACATGAGGTATTCTGATTACTTTCATTATTTACATTATTCGGACTGTTATCCTCATCTTCATTGCCATATTCACAACAGCCGTGAACCAAACTTCAAGAGTTGAATTAAAGGGAAACAACGGAGACATCCGGAAGAGGCATGGCACGTGGAACTAGAAAAATCTACCCCCCTCTACCGATCAACTGAAGAAGGCCGAAGCGTAGAACGACCGAAACGTTGTAAACATGGCAATGAAGATGAGGATAACAGTATGAATAACGTAAATAATGTAAGTAAAGATAAAAGTTTTTATACTTTCCATTCCAAAATCTCATCTTTTGCGGATTTATTGTAAAAAGATGACATCAAGAAAATAAAGAATTTATGTAAATAAATTAATCGAATAATCTTGTTTCTTTTCAATATATTTTTTTATAAAAATATCGGGTCTTCCTTAAATGCGTAAACTAACAAGTTTAAGTGAATAGGTGGCAGAACAAAGGCAAAGATTACAAAGTTACTTAGAGGAACAAAAAGGAAGTTATGGAGAGCTATGATCATCCACATCCTGAAAGGACATGGTATATAATAGAAGAATGAAAGAAAAATGTAGGTAAATTATTGTAGCACAAGTTCTGCGTCGGTGTTAGTCTTTTTTATCTGCTACGGCGACCTCTACGTTAGATGGAGACACCTCGACGTGCTGTAATGGTTAACAAGCTTGTCTCGTTTGATCAATTATAACTGAATAGTGAGTTCGATCCTCACTGAGCGCCCACACACTTTCGGTCTTGTGCCACATGGAAGTTACGCTTAAAAGAATCGCCATCGGCGTTAGATGTACTTTCAAAATATGTGTGTTCAAGTCTCGTTAAAGGCGAATTTATTTGTAGACACTGCTTACTTTAACAGTCACAGAAAAGCAAAAAATACGATTAGGGAAAGACTAGCAAAAAAAGAAAAAAAAAAAGAAATAGAAATATGAACAAAAATAAAAAATACATCGTCTATAAAATCAGATGATTTAAAATTTACTTTGATGCTTTGAGGAGTAGTCCTTTGTTCTAAACATGGTCCGAACCATTTTTTCTTTCTTTAGAGACACTCATGAATAAACTAAAATTCATCCATCCATCAAGTGTGAATGAGAGGATTTATTTGTGCAACGTGCATCGCTTTGGTACAATCGACTGAGACAATTATAGTATTTTTAAATGCCATGTCCCTTCAATATGCGATCTGGGCTCTCCACACACTCCTTTCTTTTAGAGAATCTGAATTACTGTAAGTTCTTGAAGTGGAACGGTTTCCCATTGGCCTCTCGACAGTTTTAAATCGACAGTTTTTTTCTAGATTGGCTGCCACCCAAGATCTGAACGCATAGTCTAATTTATTTTACATACACACAGCCGGATGTCATGTTCAATTTCATTCTGACAGCTCCTGCGTTGACACCAAGGTGTATTGGCCTCTACCTTTCCCTTGGATAACATCGATAGCGTGGAGAGGGGATATGTACTGCATGGACAACCGCCGATCTCTCATAAAAACCCTGCTCAGGCCCGCAATCTGGAGAAGGCAGAACACTTCAGGCGCAGATTGAAGCCTGACGGATATATATATATATATATATATATATATATATATATATATATATATATATATATATAAAAAAAGCTATGCAACATGAGAGTGTGGTAAATGGGTGCGCTTGAAACAAAACAAAAAAATGCTAATGTAAAATTAAAATTAAGACCAAAATTGTAGACTTCCTTAAAGCTGCCGTCATTTCATCTGCGAGGATTCTCCGGTTTGGCTTGGTTTGTTTTACGACATATCAACCTCAATGGGTTATTTAATGACGACAGAATTTTTATTTCTGGTAATATTTTTTCTTCAAAAATGTATAGCGAGTAATAACTTTTTCTTTCTTTTTTTCCCCAAAAATCTATTGCTAGTAATATTTTTTTTTTTTTTTACAAAGTATTTCTGGTATTAAACCTATTTTTACACTATCATAGAGTTTTGACCCCAGTTTAGAGGTTAACTATTTGCCCATAGCTGGAACCCTAAAAGGTGCTACCACCCCGGGTCAGGGTGAAGCTGGGAACATCAGCAATTAAGAGGTGGTTCCATGCTCCTCAAAACCTCCTGATCAGAGGCCTTGCTGCTGGATTTACTTTATCGTCATACCCAGGACTGGAGGATTCTTCGAAACGTTCGTGAATTATGAGGAGTCTTATTAAAATTATGTCTCGAAAATAGAATTACTATAGACAACGTCAATGTATGACAATTGACACAAATTATTTTTGCCCGATACACTTTTAAGATCTGAAGTTTAATGACGCAGATGCGTTCGTACTCACGCCATTGTGTTACATCAGATCAACTTTTCTTTATTAAATTCGAAAGGAAAAGCCGACTTCATATTAATGTTTCGATAAACTAATTTATATATATATATATATATATATATATATAAAACGTCCGGCAATTAGTATTTTTATTATTACAAAGAGAGTTTAAATCATGACAGTTTTTTAACCGAAGAAAAAAAAAAAAAGTAAAAACTTAGGAAAAACAAAAAAACAAAAAAGTAAAACTAGATGATGACTTCCAAGACAAATCGAGCCCAAGAGGACAATTGTCTAAGATTTTGAAAAACATTTCCACATTAATCTTACATTGTAAAATGTCAAGTGGAACGGACTAAAGGGGACAGAAGAAATTATATATATATATATATATATATATAAAATTGACTAAACAACTGGGCCTCCCATGAAATTGCATGCCAAGAAAGAACAAAAGAAATGGATGAGAAAAAGTATTAAAATTTTAGAGTATGAGTCATTTTAAAGAAGAGTTTGAAAAGAAAACGAAAGAGGATGGGGAGAAGAAGATGGAATCCACCACCACAACAACATACATAGATACATTTGGGAACAGAGGAAAAGGAGACAGAGGCAAAAAAGACGGGGGGAGAGAGAGAGAGAGAGAGAGAGAGAGCTAAATACAAGATGTAAAGCGGTAGATAGAAAATATTTTGTAAAAAATACAAAATTGTGGCACAAGGCCGAGGATAAAGTCAGACACAGAGAGGGGAGGACAAAGGACGACCGGAGACAGAGATGTAGGGGGTGGGGACAAAGGACGGCCGGAGACAGAGATGTAGGGGGTGGGGACAAAGGACAGGGGTGGGGACAAACAGGAGAGACAGAGATGTAGGGGTGGGGACAAAGGACGGCCGGAGACAGAGATGTAGGGGTTGGGGACAAAGGACGACAGAGATGTAGGGGGTGGGGACAAAGGACGGCCGAGACAGAGATGTAGGGGTGGGGACAAACAAAGGACGGCCGGAGACAGAGATGTAGGGGGTGGGGACAAACAGCGGCCGGAGACAGAGATGTAGGGGTGGGGACAAACAGCGGCCGGAGACAGAGATGTAGGGGGTGGGGACAAACAAAGAGATGTGGGGACAAACAGACAGACAGAGATGACGGAGACAGAGATGTAGGGGTGGGGACAAACAGCGGCCGGAGACAGAGATGTAGGGGTGGGGACAAACAGCGGCCGGAGACAGAGATGTAGGGGTGGGGACAAAGGACGGCCGGAGACAGAGATGTAGGGGTGGGGACAAAGGACGGCCGGAGACAGAGATGTAGGGGGTGGGGACAAAGGACGGCCGGAGACAGAGATGTAGGGGTTGGGGACAAAGGACGGCCGGAGACAGAGATGTAGGGGTGGGGACAAACAGCGGCCGGAGACAGAGATGTAGGGGTGGGGGACAAACAGCGGCCGGAGACAGAGATGTAGGGGGTGGGGACAAACAGCGGCCGGAGACAGATGTGTAGGGGGTGGGGGACAAGGAACAGCAGGAGAGATGTAGGAGAGTGGGGACAAAGAACGGCCGGTGACAGATAGAGGAAGGGTGGCAATGAACGGCCGGGGACAAAGAAAGGCGGGAAAGAAAGCCAAACAGGAAGTACCATAGGAGGAAAAGAGAGGGACAGGCAAAAAAAAAAAAAAAAGACAATGCGGCAGGGAGAGGCAGGAAATAAGCCACGAGAAAGAGAGAGGGAGATGCAAAAAGGGAAGAATTAAGGTGGGTGAGTGCGAGAGAGAGCGAGAGACAAAGATGGCCTGTAAGAGCGGAAGTAACGAAAGTGGCGGGAGACAGGAAGGAAGGCAGGCTGAAGAGACGAAAGAAAGACAAGTGGTACCGTAAATTAAACTAAACGCAAAAAATTAAAGACAAAAAAAAGAAGCAATAGCCGAATTAATTTTAAAAGTTCAAGAAGCCCACAGCTGTTGGAGTCAGGCGAGAAGCGAAGTGACTTTTTGTCTCCTTGTGAATCTACAATCACCAAGACGACGAAAAGGAAATTTGATATAGCAAATATGTCTCAAATGGTTGGCTTAATAATAAAACCTAACTCCTACTTTGTCAAGCTCAACATACAAGGAGGCTGAATGCAACGGACATGATTAAAAAGAGAAGCTTGAATTTTCGGGTCGCTGTAAACTCTGCTGATAAAATCCGACATCATTTTCGGTCATTTCTTAGTTTGTAAAAATAATTGTTTCGCTTTTTCTCCATTTCGCCTTCGCTTGTGGTTCTTCCAATTAAATTATATAACTTTTTTTTTTTTTTTTTTTTTTTTAAAAAATGGGACATTTTACCAGCCTTTTATGAAATAGCGGTTAACCTAACGCAGATCATTCCTACTTTTGCACGAGCAACATTGGTTTAAAAAGAAAACTTTTTTTTTACGATGCATATTTTGTTAAGCAAGTCAAATATATAATTAAAAACCTATAAAAAGTATTATTTCAATGAAAGGTTTATGTAACATTTCTAAAAAAAAGAAATGGTAACTAATTCCCCTTAAGTGTCGCGCGACATACCAGTTTTTAAAACAGCTCTGACCAAACAACAAAAATTGTAGAAATCAAATCAACAATTTCGAGGATGTCAAAATAATTTGTTGGGAAATTATAACAACCAACTAACAATGTTGCTCAAAATGTTGCTTCTTTTTCTTTTTTTGCAATGATTTTGAATTATTGCCTCTTCAAAATCTGTAATGTTGCGGCAAGTATATGTTAAAATCACGTTGTCGTGTCCATAAAGAAATACATATATAAAAAATTAATTAGTATCAAAATAATAATAACAATTATAATTATTATTAATTCACTCTTTCTAAACCAATGAGAATCGACCGCACTCTTCCGCTCTCCACACACAAACACATAACATTCTCACTATCGGACAAAAGCAGTCAACACGTCCTTTTCAGGCCATGATAGTGACGTTTATCTTTTAGCACTTAAAAAAAATTCGAGGTAAGAAAACCTTAGACACTTGTATTTTTCCAACTACATTATCTGAACCATCGTTACACAGATTTATAAATAAAATTTAAGAGAATGTCTGTATACACTTTATTCTTTATCTTATCATATTTCCGCGCCTCACACCAAACTCACGGGACGCATTTTTACCTCTTGACATGCGCACAAATTAAAGCTTAGCCAAGGGCAGATAATCAAGTTATCTAACTTCACACCGCCTTACTTTTATTAAATTATATACATAGTAAATAGTCTTATAAAAATTTGTGAAGCTGCTTACATATTTCTATTGTACCAAATTGTCCTTCAGTAAATATCATTGTTTTGTATTTGCTGCACATACTTTGTAGCCGTTTCTCTGTCAATGTTATTGCTTTTTCGACCTCCTGTTAGCGACGCCACGCGGTAAGAGTCCTGTCGCTTATTACACTTTTGTGTCCGCCCGCCTCGTTGTAATATTTCGCCGCAATGTAATTTTTTTTCCTATTGGCTAACCTTCTTGCAATGCTTACATTAATCACTCCACGTACTTTACTGTTCATTTCAAACCAAGTTTTATGGCTGGTGTTCAATGCATTTCCAATCAACAGGTTTTTGAAGACATCACCATTTTGAAGATTTTATACCAATATTGATAATTGCATTGACTGGTGCCATAACTATGGTTTGCTAGCAGTTAGTATAGACTGCATTGCTTGCAACAGCCGTTGTAGGAAACTGATGTAATGAATATGCATACACTTGGGTTCCCTCTCACAGTAATATGATTGGCTGGTGTCAGCCATAAAAACAGACTGATGTGGAGGTACATGAACTACGCCTATTGTCTTCGCCTATTGCCTACCACTACGACGAGGACCAGTCCATTACGGTTACCTGCTAGATTGTCCTACTCGGTTACAGTAGTCAACAACCACTTTGCTACTTTGAACAAGTATATCCCTTTCCGGGACATATCAGAAAAAAAAAACCTATTCGCGATCGGTGAACAACAGGATTTGGAGGTGTGCACGTAAAGCTTGTCGGGTGCGAACGTGTAATAGCGTCCGAGTCCTTATTTTTCAATCAAGCCCATATACTTAGCATGTTATCACATGCGAATTATAATATTCGCCTAATCAAACTGTCAATATGAAAATGTAACTTTCTATTTCACTTGTACGTACTTGTTGCTTTTATATTGCTCTGTTTTGTCTCAATTTATTTGTTGTGACCAAGTAATTGGTTAAGAAATAACAAAACAAGAGGTTGCAGATAATTAGTATATTGAACAGTAAATACAACAGAAGAGTGTTACACGTCTTGGGAGTGTGTGTCGGTTGACCAGTGTTCAGTCTATATCACCGTTAATATTTAACAGTCCCCCAGCCCGCCACGAGGGATATATGTGGCACAAGGCCGAGTTTAACGTTGGTCATCCGAGCCCGTAGGCTCGGCCAAAAAATCCCCGTAGAACCCGCATAAACGGGTTCGGGTCTGTCTACTTCCCCGGACGAAACACTGCCCTTCGGCACAGCCTCGTCCGGGTTCCTCTGCCAAAAGCAGTGAGTTCGACAGGAGCTGCGAACAGCCTCATTAGAACAGTCTATATCACCGTTATATTTAACGCCCCCCCATACACACACGTGGGTTGTATGTGGCACAATGCCGGTTTATTGTGTATTCTCCGAGCCCGTAGGCTTGACAAAAAAATATTCCCTTTGAACCCGTATAAATGGGTTCAGGGCCTGTCTACCTCCCTGGACGAAACTTTGTCCTTCGGCAAAGCCTCGTCCGGGTTCCTCTCTGCTCAAGGCGGAGAGTTTGACAGTAATGAACGGTCTTATATCACCATTTCCCCTGAGGCTTACTTTCCTACTACTTTATAGTAAGTGGAAGAGTCCACAATAGCCACATTTGAGGGAGGGCAACACAAAATTATTTAATCCGACTATTTAAATGAAGTCAAACCGACACTTAAACAGGATTGACTATTCCCTTTTTCTATCTATGGTGTCCCGTAACGACTACAACACATTTTCTGCAATTCACTACAACCTTGGAGAATTAACAAACACCATACTGTCGTGTTGGTGACAATGTTTCCACAATAAACGGAATTCGAGAACTTCATAGAAAAGGTTTTGTATTTTCATCTAAACGAATAAAATCTCTGAAACTATTGCTTCATTCCTCTTTTTTCAGTTATTGAAAAAAAAAATTTTTTTTTCCTTTTACTTTATTTTCAAATTAAGATGAACAGATACTTTCCTTGCTTGATATAAAATTTTAAAAGAACTATATTACCATTTTCCAAGAAAAGATGCGAGAAGTCATTCTCTCATGGAATTAAACTGCCATCAGTAATAATTGCTGTGCTATATCACACGAACGACTTGAAATGGAATGTAAAATATTGCACACCATATATTCGAAAATATTTGATTGATGAAAGTAAAGAAAATAGATACGGATACATGGAAGCGATAACAAAAAAAGAAAAATGTCACAATCCTTTCACAAGACGACATTGTTCAGTTAATGAGAGTTTCCTTTTAGAATAGTCAGCGATTTATGACAGACAAACCAAACGTCTTCATTGGCAAATATTTATCTTCGTCTCTTCTCAGTTATGTGCCATGCGTGATACACGCTTAGGTGATCATGTATCTTTCGATACGAGGCAGATCTTTTGCCATTTCTTTCAAGGCTGTAGAACCCGGTCTGTTCTGCTATTTACCCATAGCTGAGGGGAGAAGTGAATGTAATGGATTCGACTGGAATTCGAACTCGGCTCTCTGATTCCTCAATCAGATCTGCTATTCACTACTCCACCTTCTACTTACATTCAAAGTGATGAAAAGAATTTCACGATCATTGGAAAGAAAAGCAATATTTAAAAAAACAAAACGAATGATTTGTCTGAAAATACTATGACAACTATCTAAGAAATTGTATTTAGTTAGAGTGTTCGTATCAGATAGTCATTAAACTGGAACGAACACAGAAATAAATGACAAAAACGTAAATAAAAATATAATACAAAAAGCACATACTCATAGATGGCTGCACAAAAATACATTTTCATCACTCCTTCCTTCTTTCAACTCAGAACTTGTAAATAACTCTGGCATGACAAAGAAAATAGCCAAATGAAAACTGTCAAGAGACACACATCAGGAAAGAAAGGGACCCGAAAGTGTATGACTGCAAAATCAACCAATCAGATACAGTAGTAGGGGGTTACGAACTGCGTGCGCCCACAATGAAGACCACCAACCTTCTATTTCAGGTTCTTACAGCAGCAACGCACCGCCGAGAAAGACAAGTATGCATACCTATCACGTGTAAAAAGAGCCGACCTTACGTGCTACGAAAACATCACAAGGCAAAAGTACGGGGTACCGAATGAAGACATGCAATACGCGACCTGCCACAAAAAACATTGTTTTACTTTCTTCCTCATCAGAAAGTGATAATGCTTAGAAGAATTTGCAGTTAGGTGTTTGAACTCTAGCGTCCGAACTTACGGCTACAAAGGACAATTGAAAATATATAGAGAGAAGTTGTCATCACTTGAATGACAGTATATTAAACTTTTAAAACAGAATTTGAAACCCTATTTTGCTACCATGATAATTAATATAATATACATTGTCCGGCATTAATTAAATAGAATGGTCCACTCATAAAAAATATTTTTTGTAGATTAGCATTCTTTACGTGCCAGAATCGAGTAATGTTGATCTGCTTGTTATCAGTTTAGAAGAAGGGGAACTCTTTGTCTATATTTCTGAGATGAGGTATTATATACACTATTTACATTATTCGGACTATTGTCCTCATCTTTGTCGCCATATTTATTACAACGTTTCGGTCGTTGTGCGCTCCGGCCTTCTTCAGACACATGGCACAGTGGATAAAGGCGTTAGTTAGATCCAAAGACAGGACCCAAAGAGTGCGAGTTCAATACCCGGTTAAAGCAGTGGAGAACTTGGAGAGGGAAATTAACCGGAGATAACTGACATCCATTAAACATGGCACGTGAAACAAGAACAGCCTAACCCAGTGAGCAAAATAAAGGATTCAGTTCGACATCCCAACCACCTGAAGAAGGCCGGAGTGTACAACGGCCGAAACGTTGTAATAAATATGGCGACAAAGATGAGGACAATAGTAAATAAAGGGGAGCTCTGTTTATAATATCGACACAGTGTCAAATCGATCCCTGACTTTTACAGAGTTATTGGCTCTAGCGGTTTTGCGTATGAAAACACATCGGGGTGGGGTACAAAGACTTTTTGTAAATAACGAACAAACGGATATATACATTTTTAATTTAAGAACAAGAATTTACATGTATCAAAATGTTATTAAACATGAAAAATATTTATTATTGTTTGCGCATGCGCTTCTGAAAAAATCCATATAAAAACAAAAACTTTAAAAAATTTTAAGTTAAAAAAATTAAAAAATATATACAGATATCAAAGAAAAACGGAAAACAGCTAAAAAGTCAATAACCCTGTAAAAGTAAAGATCGATTTCACACTGTATAATAAACTGGACCCCCCCACACTTCGAAATCGATAAAAATTTTGATATTTTTCGATTATGACAAGAGCGATGTCCTAAATAATGCGACTTAAGAAAAAAAAAAAAAATCCCCCCAAATAACCCCGCCTTTTTAACGAGTAGGCCAATCTATTCAAGTAGTGGTAATTTTTTTCAAACAAGTAAATAAAAAAATAAAACAAAACAAGAAAAAAAAACGAATAAAGAACATAACTTTTTACTCCAAGTTTCAATTCAGGAGCAACACCAAAATAAACAAATAAAAACTACACACACAAAATGAGAACGAATCAAATATAAATTCAAACGTTCATATCATTAAGTAAATATTAAAAATTGTAATAATCCTCATTTACAACCGCCTGATGAGATGCGATGATATGCCTCGAAACATGAATGCATTTATGTAGCGGTTTTACATATGTTGGAATGTAATATCCTGTAGCAGTTTTATATGTTCGAAACGTAATATCCTATTATATATATATATATATATATATATATATATATATATATATATATATATATGTGTGTGTGTGTGTGCCTTGAACAATAAAAAATATTGAGAAATTAAAATTTTCAGACACTGGGTTGTATATAAAAATTTTTTTTGTTTTATTATTTCAATTAAATTCCTCGACTAGTTTCGGTCAGTATGGACATCATCAGGAGAAGAAAAAAAATTCTGCTTGTTAGTAGCAGTGAACTACAGGACGGTGTGTGTGTGTATATATATATATATATAAAGAAAGACAAGACAAAACAGTTTAATCAACGCAAGTATGTGACAGATAAACGTGCAAGGAAAGGGTTGAATTTTCTTTTGTCCCGTTGATGGATAACTTCATTTAAAAAAAAAAAAAAAAAATTCTCTTGTTTTACAGCAAGCGTTACTACTGGAAACAATGACGTCATCACTAAATAGTATTTTTAAATAATCGCAGGAGTCATTTTTTTCCCGTCGCTCGTTCCCTTAATCTTTGTTAGTATGTCATACGTAAAAATCTCAGAGTGTCGATGATATCCGAGGATTAAATTAATTTTTTAAAATGAAAAATATTTAAAAAATATTGTAAAAATATTCTTTTCTGAAACTTTATTTGACGAATATTAGCTGATCTAAAGTTTAATTAATCTTATTTGAAACACATTACTTACTTTAAGTTTAAATTATCGTAGAAATGCATTATTTTAACTTAGCGGTAGCTTTTTATTTAAGGAATATAACGTGAGCGCCTTTTTATATAATTTTCAACTACCCAGTAATCTTAAAAAATTAAAAAAATATATTCCATAATTTAATGTTTTATTAAATTTTAGGTACTTTGGTTTTAAATTTACGAAACATATCGCTCTTATTTTCTGATAATGTCGTGTATGGACGTCCGTACTTACAAAAATCGGCACGTTTAAACACAAAATTCTTTTTTAAAATATTGGTGTTGGATGAATTGTAGTAAGATTTTCTATTTATGATTACTAAATATAGTTTTTACTTAATAACAATATCACTCAATCTGTACAAAGAATTTTAAGATTTGAAATTTTATAAATTATAATAAAAAAAAAAATGAAAATAATTCTTGTAAAAATTCATTATTCATCGAAATTTTGTTTCTTTGTGTCCATATCGTATTCATAAAAGCAAACGAAACCTTTTCTAATTAAATGTCTTAGTTTTTTAGCATTCATTTTATTTTTATTTTACGATTCAGAGAAGATTTTTGGTAGCTGGGCGTCCTGTTTTACGAAAAGAAATTGAGGATTTAAGATTTTGAAAGAGTTCTGCTTTTTAAAACATTTAACTCGACAAAATTTAATTTCTCGAAATTTCGTAAAATTAAATAAGTGAGGATGTATTGTAACAGATGTAAAAAAAAAAATTATTTTCGCCAAGATTTTCTAAAGAAGCATTTCTAAAATAATTTAATTCATTTATGAATAAGCCCTGAAAGTTTCATTAAAACCCGACAATTATTTGATTTTGCAACAATTTCCAGATTAGTGTGTTTTTCACCACAAAAAGACGTTAAAATTTCTTAATCTTTGGCCACCGTGCTGACGAAAAAAATAAAAATAGATTTTTAACCAAAAATTTCGAACTTTCTAAAAAAGATTAAAAAAAAAAGAAATTTAATTAACAAAAAATTCCTTGGTCTTTCCTCTTCTTCATAATATCAAAGATTTTGTCGAAAAAGAATTGTTTTTATTAAGTTTGGGTCATTTTTTTGCATCGTGGTATGGTAATTGTTTAGCGAGTTAGTAGTGGTTTCTAATCTCAATGAATTAGGCATTATTTACAATGAATACGTTAAGCTTCTGCTTAATAAATATGATCGTTCAATTAATGATTTCATCATTTCATCTCCTTTAAATACTTTTTTAAAGAATCATTTTAGATTCAGAACATTTCAATTTTTAATATTTTATTTACTCGGTGAACGATGTGTTGAGTTTATTTTCCTTTCAACAACATTTTTTTTTTTTTTTTTTTTTTTTTTTTTTTACTTTCACCGACTCTCGACATTTAAGTCCTTTACTTTTGGCGGGAAGCGTTGGATCCAGACCAACGGTTATTTTATACCGCTAATTTTAGTTAATTGACATGCAGCAGTTAATAATATTTTGTCATATGGCCGTCAATAGCATCATTTTAAAAACTAAAACCCCTCAACTCAATAATGATAAAAAAAAATAAAATAAAAAAAAAACAACTAAGTCAAATTCAGGCGCCTGTTTTCTTAAAAAGAACTAACATATTGTACGTTTTTTTATGGTTTCAAAACTCCAATGACTTTTACTGGTGCTCATTTCTTTAGGGAAATTTCTAATTAAAATGACCAACAAGAAAATTATTCCCAAAGTGATTTATGCTTTTGATCCTTTTTACTTTTTTTTTTTTTGGCTGTGTTACAGGCCACGAGGACTCGCTTGGTGATGGTTTTGGGTCAGGACAAACAATTTTCGTTTTTCCCAACTGAAATATAGGTTAGCTTCCTAGTAACAATTGAAGACAAACGAGTATGCATAAAGAAGTAGTGACGGAGGTGGAGTAAGGCCTTGGGTGTTAAGGTGGATGGAGGGCCTTTCAAAATCCACATGGGCTTGTTTCCTGATGTTATTTGCTTTAGCGTCTCTCAGAGCCTGGAACAACAGAGGAAGAGGCAGAAGAGAAGCGGATAAGGCTGAAGTGACAGTGGGATAGGAGAAGAGGGAGGGGGTGGTGAAAGATTATGAAGAAAGAAGACGATATAAAAGTTTGAAAAAAAAAAGGGACTGGAAGACAAAGTGGCGCGCATGTCCGTGGGTGTGTGTGCCCGCTCGCGCGTGCGCAAACAGACAACAGTTAAACGAGTTGCAAGAAGAGAAGGAAAGAGGGAATAAATATGGCAGAAAAAGCAGAAAGAAAAGGTTGTTAGCGAAAGGGAAATTGAGAAAAAGTTTTGTCTTTAAAAAAAAAAAAATTATGCAGAAATAAAAAACGGAGACAGAAATTGACGAAAAGAAAAGTGTTAAATTTGAAGGCCGCACTTAAAATATGACAGCAAATCTTTTTTAATATTTAGAGAGAAAAAAAAAAGAGATAAAGTGAAATAGAAAAAATATATAGTGCAACCCACGTTATTAAAATTAAAAGAGCAGCAGCTGATGTTATACAGCGAATGAAACGTTCAACCATACACTATTAATTTGGATTGACATTGCACTTTCGTGACTTTTCCTTCTTCCAATGTAGTAAAACAAGACTAAACTGACAAAAAAAAAAAACACCAAAAGAAAAACCAAAAAAAAAACAATGAAAATGATAAAGCAGCAGAACAAAATAACTCAAAAAGCAACCAAGAAAAAGACAAAAATTCAAACATCCCAAAAAGAACGTTAAAAACACAAGTCAAACTACAAAGCATTCTGAACAATCATTTCAATTAATCCTGTTGCATAGTATTGTAATCAATACTGTTGTCAAATAACTGCTTTGGTCTTAGTAATTAGTTTACATTACCCAAAAACACGGATCACTAACTAAGCAAGCACTTAAGCTTATCCTATCTAAAAAATTTTTTGAAGCATGCACCAAATTTGGTAAATATCCAAAGGATTCACAAAAAGTGTTTAATTCTGTAATAAGTCAAAATTGAAATAATTTTCTGTTCTTTGAGAATAGAAGGCTATCAAATTTTAAGAATTAGAATCTTATTTAGCAGTTTAATTTTTGTATATGAACAAATATAAATTTCAATATTAAACTGCACATATCACAATACAAACAAAATTTTAAAAAATGGCTTAAAGTAACCCAGCCAACAGAAGATGAAGGTAATGAAGTGTCTTGATAAAACCTGTCCTTAAATAATTCTTACCCAGGCAAAGCAGCAATGTTGTTTTACTCTATTCACATATACCAGATAATTCAGAAAAAATTATGAAGAGAATTAGATATTCACTCAGCTTTTTTGTTTCTGTTAATCATTTTGCCTCAATTATGGCAATAATGCCACTAAGATGCAAGGGGTTACTGTGAGTGAAAGAGAATGGGATAACTTTAGTGAGAAGAAAGTGTTAGGATGGTTCACTCATAACAATGTAGAGATGATGTAATGAATATACATACACCTTGGTTCCCCCTCACAGTAATATGATTAGCTGGTGTCAGCCATAAATACAGACTGATGTGGAGGTACATGAACAACGCCTATTGTCTTCGCCTATTGCCTACCACTACGACGAGGACCAGTCCACTATGGTTACCTGCTAGATTGTCCTACCCCATTACAGTAGTCAACAACCACTTTGCTACTTTGGACAAATATATCCTTTTATGGGACATATCAAGAGATAACAACATTTGGCAGCGAAGTGCCATATTTATTCCAAAACTAAACTACAATACAAAAAAGGAAGCCAAACACATATCAGTGTGATAGAAAAATAGACAACTCAAACTTGAACAGAAAGAACAAAAGAACGGTATTCAGGAAGATGGAAAATATGGTGACTGGAATTGCATTTAAACTTTTTGAAAATTGTCAATGGCAAGGAATCAAGAAACTGGAAAAGAGTTTCACAGGTGGGAAGTATGAGAAAAGAAACTATTGATATATAACTTACAGTTATAGTCAGTCCGATAGTAAAACTGTAAGACTTAGTTACCAATCTAATAGCATGCTTAAATTCATGCAGTCACGACACCAAAGAAGAAAGCTCATTGGAACAATTGTCATGATAATATTTATAGAAAAGTCAGAGGGAAGCCACATCATGGTCATGGAAAAAAAAAACTGAAGTTGAGATGCCAGGTCATGACCAATAACATTACAGACTCTTTAGATTTTGTTGAGAATCTCAGGATATATATCAGAAGCACCAGACCAGGAATATTCAATGCAGAGACGGATGAAAGATTTATAAATATGCAAGATGGATTCTGATGATAAAGATTGGCATGACACAGTGAACCAACTTTCCTAACAGCGAATGTAGCAACTGATTCAATGCATGTCAGTGGAAAACAGTAGCCCAACAAAGCACAAAGAGCAGCTTTCCTTCTGGTTAGCATCAGCCATTATGATGGCAGGTAGAAAAGCTTCTCTATAGTGATTATAGCAGTTTTGTTTTGGGAGGCATTAAAATTTACAAGACATTCCTTGCCACAATTAACCAGTGATTGGAGGTCATTTTCAATTTGTAAATACATTCAATTAAGAAAAGTAGAAAAATGTTCTTCATTAAAACTGCATGCTGAGATCAGGTGATTTACATTCCTGTTGGCAAGCAATCGTGTTTGGGCTGGAGGTCAGCAAAGAGTCCTTGGTATTATGGAGCTGCTGGTTGGTCTCTCAATGACACTGCAGATCTAGTAATCCAGCAAATTCAAATCAGTAGAGGTAAAAGGTCATATGTCAGAAGTGATATAAGCGAAACGTTTGGGTCAGCAACTCCTGGGTCAGTAGACAATATGGGAGGGAGCAAATCCTGCTGAAAAACATATGGCAAGACCTTTGATCTAAGGCTTTACTACTGTGTCAAGAACCTTGATGTAAACAGAGGCATTGAGACCCTGCTGAAAGAAGTTTAGGGGGGGGGATAACAACATGCTCCTCCTTTGCTCACAATCTCAAGATGATCACAAATGATGTCAACTTGGTGGGCACCCCCACAGGTACATCTATGGGGGTCTATGCTGACTCGTTTATTGTTGCCCCTGTTAATTGGCCCCTTACAAAAAGCTTGCTGCCTCAGAGATGCTGTGGATGGTGGTGAGTGCTTACAAACATGACATGTCTTGAGTTCATATGTCAGATTGTAATGGGAATGTTCTTAATACATCAAAAAGCAATGAAAACATTAAAATTAACACTTACTGTGTAGCATTAATTCAACTGCTATCCAGTATACCAAAAAAGAGATTCTCAAATACCTGGAAAAATTATATATATATATATATATATATATATATATACATACATACATACACACATACATACACACACATACATACATACACTGACAGTACAACTCAGTTTCATGCACTTTGCAATCATCCGGTATAAATGAACTGTTACATTTATACCTGATGATTGCTTCAAGCATGAAACTCCGAGTTGTACTGTTAGCATAAGTTATGTATATTTATTAATATATACTTAATAGTTCTGTTATTTTGCATTGAGCACTGTTTTACTTACACCAAAGGATTGTGTGTGTGTGTGTGTGTGTGTGTGACACTTGCACACACACACACATTATATATATATATATATATATATATATATATATATATATATATATATATATGGACCGAGGAAGATCCACTCATACACATAACCACAAAGAACATATCCTGCAAGATGTTGGAGGCAATGCAGGTATCATCACACATCACATGGTACCACATGCAGGGTACTTCAACATCAGCTCCTGTATCTGTATCATTTGCAATATGTGCAGGGTCTTTTGCCCACTGATCACTCACCACGGGAGAACTTTTGTTGATGGGCTTTTATTGCATAAACTGTCTCTTCAGTCTTATTTACATATGAGGCAACATTTGGAAGAGATGGAATAACAAATTTACACAACCAACATTTTTGGCCAGATCAGAATCCCAATGGTACAATACAGGTTAAACACCAGCATCAGTTTACGATTAATGCGTTGGCTAGAAATATAGGTAACTGTCTGGTAGGTCAGCTCTCCCAGCACATCTTGCAGGAGTTGTCTACAGGGACTTTATTTCAAACGCACTTCCAGACCTGCTGGAGGATGTACTCCTGCTAATACAAAGATGCATGTGGTTCATGCAAGATAGGGCTCCAGCACATTTAGTCACATTGTTCACGATACCCTGGCTGATATCTACCATGAAAGATGGATAGGTAGGGGAGGACCGGTTCCATGGCCTGCATCTCCCCCCTCCGATCTCAATCCTTTAGATTTTTATCTGTGGGGGCTACCTAAAACAATTGGTTTGTGCAGCAGACATTAACGATCAACATGCCATAAAACCATTTGACACCATGTGGGAGTATTTGAAAGGGGCTGCTAGTCAATGATTTGATGGGTGCATGCATGTGTAGAAGCAAGCGGAGGACATTTTAAATATTTGTTATCAGTTGCATATGTTTATATGGACATTTGACCTTGTTTGGTGTGAGGAACCCACCCCTAAAGTTTGTAAAAGTATTTTTGGATTGTATCTTGGATGGTACATTTAATAGCATCTACGATAAATTTTCAACTTAACTCAAAAACAAAGGAATTGCAGACATATGTTAATATGAACTTTTGTCCTTGTTTTGAAGAACCCTTCAACAAAGTTTGTAAAAATATTTTTGATACACCCTATGTATGTTGGTTTTAAAAATGACCAAGTGCTTTCTTTTTGTCCAACACTTCAGAAAGATTCATTGGAACGACGATAACTAAAAATAGAAAACTAAAAAGATGAACGCAAAAGGGGGTGGTTAAATAAGAAGCAACGACTAAAATAGATTTATTACTAAAAAAAACAAATCAGTCTAAATAATTTCCTTTTTCAGTTTTGCCATTTTGATTACTTTTTGTTTCAAATTTTTCTGAAGTGTTGGACAAAAAAGGTTCCTTCAAAAGAATACACTCAATCATTTTTAAAACAATATATAAATTGTGGTATAAAATTTTATATATATATGTGTGTGTGTGTGTGTGTGTGTGTGTGTGTAATCCAAATAATAACTTTCAATAAGGTACTTTCTAGAAAGAAATTTATGCAGAGTAATGTGTAAAATAGTTAAAATATTCATGAGACAAATTGAAGACAAAATATAAAACAAAGTAGAACATCTTCCCTTGAAAAGGATTGTGTTTTTCTTTAAGGATCTTTTCTCCTCCTCCTCCATTAAGAATGTCTGGAAAGTAATTATGTTTTTTTTTCAGAAAGGATATAAAAGAAAATCGAAGTTAAATTTATCTAAATATTGTTTATCAAAAATGGAATCCATTTCCCATTCAATGATTGCAAGTTTTTGACACCACATTTAAAGAAACCTGGGTTTCTTGTTTCCGAATAATTCTCTTATGGAATGTTTCAGTGATTAAAACAAATGAAAACCTGGTAAGTATGGGTGGGGATGTGTAAGAACTTCCCATCCTAATGATCTTATTTTTCCTTCATTTTTTTTTTTTTTTGTAGATTGTGATGATGTCTTGTCAATACTGGAGAACAACAGTTTTTCTCTTTATCAAAACAAGCCACACTCAATGTTATGCTTCATTTATCCAGTCAAGTTGCTAGCTATAAACGTTTCTAGTAATGGTCCTATGTTCAACTAAATTGTAACAGACATCATTTCATATTCCAGCAGGTGCAAAGCCAGGACTTCTATGGAAGGAATCCTAATTTTGGCATTGGCACTAGTTTGCCCATTGTGATAACCACTATCTTTTTCGTTTTTTTACTAATATGCAAAACCCACCTTTCACCACTTATAACAATGTGATGGAAAAAAAATAAAAGGCTGGCATTACTGGTTAAAAGAAAACTGCAGATTGTGAGACATTGTGTTTAGTTCTCAAGTGAAATGCCTTTTTAGCAGGTTTTCCTAATAAAACTCAGAAATGAAGGATAAACAACTTGGTTGGTTGATACAGAATTCACACACATCGATGAAATACATAATTGCTTTCCAAACATCATAATATATTGCTAAACTGATCAAAAATAAATATACTGCATATGTACAAAATTCATTTACATATACATTTTTACAATTCTATGATTAACCCTTTGAGCTCTGCATTCCTGAACAATTAACTCTTCTGCCTGAGCTCGAGTCAAAATTCACAAATAATTGGTATGTAATGTTTCACGGTAGATATAAAAATTAGTTACAAGTGTTTACCCACTGTTCAACCAGTGACTGGGCATTAAGATATTTTTCTCGACCACTGTTTAAGTGGTGGCTAGGTATTAAGTCATTTTTCTCTACCATCATCAGGGCTCAAATGGTTAATCATGGCTTAGGATTGCATTGCATGAAAAGGTTAACTTAACGAAAGAATTTACCTTCTGCATTAACCCTTTGAGCTTTGCTTTCCTGAACAATTTTAACCCTTCTGAATGAGATCCTGAGTCACAATTCACAAATAAATGCTATGTAATGTTTCACAGTAAATATAAAAATAGTTACAAGTGTTTACCCGCCATTCAACCGGTAGATGGGCATGAAGTCATTTTTCTCCACCACCGTTAAAGTGGTGTTCAGGGCACAAAGGGTTAAGTCACATGGAATCAACCAGACTACCAACTATCAATCATAAAATAAAAATGAAATCCAGATAATTTATCATAAAAATATTTATGCTTTAACTCACAAACTGAAAGAGTTTTAAAATGGTGACATTTCTACAAATTTCAATCACATGACGAAAAACAAACAAAAGAGTTAGAAAAGACAGAATATTATGTGACACCAACTTGAAATACTTTAGATTCACATCACAAAGAAAGAACGATTGTAGAACATCCAT